AGTAGTCAAATTATGAAACTTATGCTATTGAGATGATGAGGAAGGAAATGGATTTATGTTCAAAGAAGACACAGCCTTTGGAAAATTCACTTTCATTCTTTTGGAAAAGTACTAAGTATTAGTAGTAGTTTTGTTTGAATACCCAAGAATTCTAATTATGCTCAATTTCACATCAGAAATATAAATCTATTTCCATTTTGAAAGTAGTATAGTACTACTTTCTTCTTCTTCTTTACATACTCTGAAATAATAAATTCCTTATTCCGAAAGTACAGAGTGAAATTCTGAGGCAGGCTGCTTTGTTGACTTCCTCCCTTTGTTCACTTATATTATTAGCTTTATTTTTTGAACTATATTCTTTATTTCATTTTTATTATGGTTGAAGTCCTTTATCTCCAAATAGCTTTTCAACAGAAAAGTCAAAGAATGCTGGGTTGAAAAAGTAGAAATGCCTGAAGGAAAAGTGCTAATGATTTTTTTTTTTTTTTTTTTTTAGTGAGACACCAGGAATGTGTTTGGGCTTCCATCCTCCATATGTTCCCACTTCCTGCATGAGAGACACAGGAAGATGTTTGAATGATTTATATAGTGAGGTGGGGTCACAGGTACAGTCCACAGAGTGCTCTTAAATCTACCTTCAAACTGTAAGTTAGCAGCTGTATCAACTCTCTGTCCTATGCTTTAAATACCTATCCATCTGGTTCAGGTGAGAACTGAGAAAGAAGAGGAAGGTGGAATTTTTCCCTGAGAGTAGCAAGTCAACGATGACTTCAGGAACAAACTCTCAAATGGGACAGTTTCCATCTTGAAAGGTATGACTACTTTCTTTTGCAAAATTCTTGGAGAGAATAAAAATTCTTCATTCTGGAGGAATGAAGACAGAAATTCTGAGCCAGGCTCAGAATCAAAATGGTGCCAAGCAGCAGGTCCTCACCCGCAAAGGTGCAGCTTCCCGAAGTGCACGACCTCCCTCCTCCAGCCCTGGGTGGTTCCCGCGTAGTAGGTGCTGCTAGGGTGGTGCTCAGTGGAGCATAAGGAGCTGACGTGGCTGCTGCTGTGGTAGCACAGGGGAAGCAGCAGGTGCCAAGTGGCCCCAAAGTCCCTTGAAAATTCCAGTCTGACTGGATCAGTAGATGAGCTATCAGTGGAGCATCCAACATTGATCTTGGGATAAAAGAAAAAAATGATACAAATTATCTCAGAGCGACAAGCCTTGAAATGATTCACCACTTCATTATTTTCCAGAGAGTCCATTTTCCTGGGAGCTGTCTCACTGAAATATTTAACACTGTAAGATTCTGTTTTGCCTGAGCAATATCATATATTTCCTTTAAATTACATTTTTTTTTTCATAAAGAACCTCAAAAGACCTCATGAAAAATTTATTTTCCCTCATTTTATGAGAAACCAGGAAGTGGATAAGGCAAAAAGCTGGGAGAATTCCAAATTTTACCTTTTGCCTATTTTCATAACCAAACCAAGCAATCTGTAATGAAAAGAGTTGTTTCCCTAATCCTGCCAGCTTCTCCCCCTAGTCTGCTAGGGAGGAATGCTTTCTGTTTTTCCTCTTCTGATACCTTCTAAGAAATCCCAGAAGTTATACATATGGAGCGTCTTCAACAATATTCAATATCAAAACAAAACAGAATACAATAGATATTATTTCCCTGGCACAAGGAAAGAGTTTTTTTTTCCTCCTTAGGTGTATGTATTTAAGGTGGACAGGGTGCTGTTTTGATATAATATACCCAGTGAATTGACCACTAGAGTTAAGCAAATTAACCTGTCCATTGCTTCCATGGTTACCCTTTTTATTTTTTAATTAAAAAAATTTTTAAATATATTTTTTATAACTTCATTCATTAATTCATTCATTCATTTTTATGTGGTGCTGAGGATCAAAGCCAGTGCCTTACCCATGCTAGGCAAGTGCTCTACCACTGAGCTATAACCCTAGTCCTCCACAGTTACCTTTTGATGTGTGTTGGGATGTGTGTGTGGGGGTAAGAACAGCTAAAATCCACCCTCTTACCAAAATTCAGTACACTTTACAATAATATTTTCAACTATAATCCTCATGCTGTACACTAGGTCTCTAGTTTATTAACCCTACATAACTGTGAGTTTGTATCCTTTGACTACTCCCATTTCCTTCTCATCTGACCCCTGATAACCTGCTTCTATGTAAAGACCTTTATACCATGAGAGAAACAACTACTTCATCCCCTGAACCAAGGCTTTCAAGGGAAATAAGCTAAAACTTACATGCATGTGATTCTTCCTGTGAAAACACCCCTTCAGATTGGGATGAACATTTTATATCATGCCATCACAGCCATTGGTTAATGATATGCAGTGTGTATGTGCACATATGATTACTCTTTTTACCTTTTGATGAGTAAACTAATGGTTTTTGATAAACTTTTCAACTATAGGTACTTGCTTCTACTTTGAATTCATTAGTAACAACTCTTAAAAGAGACAAAGGTATGACCTTTTAATTAGCATTTAAAGCATAAAAGTAGAAAATATAGCAAAGTTTACAAAATAATTTCTCCACTATCATTTGGTTTTTAACTTCTGAGATTGTAACCAATAACTCTAATGTAGAGAATACAGACAGAAAGTCTAAAATATTCAAAACTGTGATGACACAATTAGGCACTATTTTAAATAAGTCTGCTGATTGGTTGGTACAGACCTCAGCTATGAAATTCTGTTATAATGTACCTTTGTTTCTGTGGATTTTACCCAAGATTTTGAAATATGTAAAGGTTTTTATGTTAATTGTTGATCTGTTTTCTTGACAAACATAAGGAGTTTAAAAATATTAATAAAATACACAGCAAATTTCTTTAAACTGATGAAACAGTGCAGTATTGTTTTATCTGTAAAATCTATATTAGTGTGATGATATATATACATAGTGAGAGATTGATTTGGGTCCTAAGAAATATAAAATTTCACATGGAAAATGAATACAATAATATCAGAATATGATCTCTTTCATTTTTATAATAGTCAAAATAATTTATTGCAACAATTTATTGTAGTAGGTGGGGACACTATGTCATCAATAAAAGACAGAAACTCAGAAATAAATGTTAGTATGACATTATTAGCTCTGCTAATAAAAGTGAATTATTACTCCAAAATCTCTTATGCCCTTGCACAAAAATGGAAGTCATAATGCATGAAATTATCTGAATTTTCCCTCTACTTTTGTAGCTTTTGTTCAAGATAAAACAAAAAATATTTTCCCATTCTTTTATTGTTGCATTTTAGAGGGATTAGTTGTTACATATTTGTACATGCACACAATATAACAATATAATTTGGCTGATATTATTCCCCAGTATTTCCACTTTCCCTCCCCTGCTCCCTCCTTCTGGTCCCTTTCCTTTATTCTACTGATCTTCCTTTGATTTTCATGAGATCCCTCCATCTCCTTTCTTTTCCTCTTTACTCTCCACATGAGAGAAAACATATGACCCTTGACCTCTGAGTTTGGCTTATTTTACTTAACATAATATTCTCAAATTCCATCCAAAAGTTTTAAGTATTCCTGATAGAATCAAGTTAAATACCTCAAATTGTATTATGGTGTTCTCATTCACATTGAGGTCACGGGTGGTAATCGAGTGTTCACCGACTTCATTGGAAACGAACACCATCGCTGAATCTTCCTCACTGTTATTCAACAAACAAACCAAGCACAACAAGGAATCCACTTAGGTAAGAACTCATCAGGATTTGTATAGAGCAGTAGTTTTATTTTTACCTTCTCAATTAAATACTTACGGTGCTCCCTTTGAAGAATAGGGGCAATAAAGACCAATGTTACCGCCAGGATAGAAAAACCAGTTGTCTTCTCTGGGCCCAAAGTCAAATGTATCCAGAAGCATCACAGGGTTGTTCAGATTATTTCCATCAATAATAAAGTCATCAACAATCCAGATCTCTTCTTTCTTACCTAAGGCATTTTTAGATAAAAGCAAGTTTTTCCAGAGATGAAAATCAGATGGACATTTTTGCTCATTGGAAGAAAGTAAAGGACGGAAGGAACTCAGTAACAATAGGTCAAACATATGCCTTCTAGACAAAACCCACAAACGATATGACAGCGTGTTCACAGTGATCAAAGTGTGAAGAAATTTAAGCTTGCAACCATAATAAATTGACACGGCACAGAAATGCCTCGCTAATTTCAGAAAGCGTTGGCAAATGGCTTGTGGGAGTGTGCTGTCCTTCCAGTTACAGTAGCATTACGCAGGGTGGGGTCTGAGTCGTTTGTGGTTTGGGGAAATCTGTAAGATGTCTGGTCTGTGGAGAGGGGCAGTCGGACTCAGAACCAGGTATAGTAACTAGTCTACTCAAGGAGCCACTTGTGACTGGGTCAAACCATGACTTAGCACCAGGATCCATTTAGGTGGAAGGACTATGGCCCTTAAAACACTGCCCGGGTAGATAAATAAATAAACAATTAAATGCAGTTAACACAAAGGAAAAATACCCTAATATATAATGCTTAATTTTTCCTTAATGGTTTTCAAAATCTCCAAAGCTTATTTAAAGATATTTGGGAATATATAGAGAACTAGTGTGTCATACGATTTGACTCAGTGACGTAGGCCAGGTGTTTAAGGAACATGCCGCAGGGCTGATGAGAAGGCAAAACCCAGGCTGCTTTTTACAAAGCACTGTCTGGACTGAATTTGAAGCAAGCTGATAAAACCAGGCCAAGTAGAAATGTCAAGATTCCTTCTAGCTGGCTTCTTCCTACATTTAGTACAATTCTCACAAAATATAAAAAAGGGTCTATAAAAGAAGCCTGCAGAATTAACGTAATACTTTAAATGAAATGTGTTGAATTTACTCTAATGCTTTCTTTTGTTTCCTTGTTTTGGAAGTGGCTGGTAATACAATTAAAAACAAAAACCCTATGAGCATTCCAAACACAGTATGGAGACAGCAAGCCTCTGGATTTTGAACTGGTTATATTCATTTTTTGTATTTTTATTTGTTGATTATACAGGAGATACACATACATACACACACACACACACACACATACACTCACACACATATATACACACAAGACATCTATATCTACCTGTAGACCTATATATACATAAATAATCCTATATAATATCATATATATTTATGATAATTAATTTAGATGAAAATACATCATAATTTTATATATTTTTTCAAAATAAGCTAAAATTTTATGTCTTAATAAAGAAGATACTCATACTTTAGAGATGGAAGTACTTCTTTCTTCTTCATTTCTGTATTACCTCTGCAAAGAATTTTGCTTAATGTGGTATCTCTGTGCTTATTTGGGCAATTACATACATGATTTAGTAAATTCTGGTTCTTTGTAATAAACAGTTAACAGAAATATTGGAAGCAATAAAACATTACCCATTACAATCATTTTTTGTAACCATTTGAAAATGCCATTAAATTATACATTCACTTTAACTTATCACTGAAGCAAGTGTATGTGGCAAGATATTCTATTGGGCACATGAACTGCTTTGTCTAAGTGCTTTTCCCTTGGCCATGGTGTTTTGCTATCATGTTCTATTTCACTAAGGAAATGCCACACTCAGAACCATTCCTAAATGAATTCAACAAAAATGTACTTACAACCAATGAGTGCCTAATGATAATGTTGGATGTTTTAAAAAGAACATTAGCTCTGTGTCAGGATTCAGCTGTATTTAACCATCAGGAGAGCTTACTAGTCAAGTATGCAGAGGTGATAAAGATACATAAAGTTAAGTATTCATTGAGACAGGTCAAAAGTGAGGCATGTAGCACACGTATGCTGTGGACAGCTAAGTCCCTGGGTTGACACTCTCTCCACTCCTGAGAAATAAGTATGTTAACATTCCAATGGTAATTTTGATCACAGATAAACACATGCATTTTTACCATTATTATAAGGTTGCCAAAGTCTGAATCTTGTAGCATTGGTTTGGGCACCGTATGGCAAGGGAACATTAATGAAAAGTATATTGGTCGTTTGAGGGAAGTAAAATTCATCCATCAGGTGCCAAGTGATTCCTCCATTGATAGAAAATTGTAGCAAAACAGAGTGAGACCTCTCTGGGGTACCTAGGAAGAAGATAACAAAGGCATAACATGTATTGTGATAAAAATGGGGAAATAGTATGTTTGTAGCTATTCTTCTAGCATCAATGCATGAGCTGGTTTATGTTTACATAGAGGTTTTATAGTTCTAATGCTTCAAAGACATATTAAAGTGATGACAGGCTGGGTTTTTTTTTATACAAATGTATCTTAAAAAATACACATCAAATCTGGGATTTACATACAATATCTCCCTTTGTCTTTTAGCTATGTGCCCACACACTTCTCATTTAGGAAATGTTACATTGAAAATTTTTGATTTTACTGGCATGGTAATTTTACAAGGGTCAAACATTTAAATCTTGAGGTACAAACAAAAAACTACTTGAAAATTTATTATATCCACAATGACATTTTTAGAAAAAGAAAATCATTTAGTTAAACATGAAAAGTCAGTTCTGGGAATGATATTGGCCAAATTATACTGTTATATGCATGTATGAATATGTAACAATAAATCCCACCATTATGTATGATTATAATACATCAATAAAAAGTATGGAAAAGAACATGAAAAGTCAGAATGACAAACAGTAGGTATTTGTGAGTTCACATCTCTAAAAGAAAATACAAAATTTTATAAATTAAAAAATTTTAATTTAAAGCTCTTATAGCTAGAAAATAGTGGTGGAAAGACTCAGGGACATAATGATAAATTTAACTACCATGGAACTATTGAGATTACTATGGCTATATGAAATCAGTTAAAAATCAGTAGTTATCTAATGCTAAAGAAGAACATTTGTGAACATTCATGTACACCAATTTATATTAGCTCTTTTATACAACAAAATTTGTAGGTCCTTAAGTACAGTACTTCTTTCTGGAGAAATTATGCTTGGAGAATTTTCTTGAAGGAAAACAATGAATTCAAATCTCTAGACATAGCTTACCTTTTGCTATAAATCTAAGTGAAAACTGGACATACACAGTATTGGTGCAATCTAGATCTCTTGAAATAAGCATCCTCAGTCCTTCCTGAAAACAAAAACAGACGTGTCAAGCAACCTTGTTTCATTTGCAAAGTTATTTTCCTCTGATTTTACACATTTAACTTGCACTAGTTAAATAATTACCTATCATGATCACGAAGCAAAATTTGGTCCAATTCAAAAGGAGAAATTGAACCATCTTCATTCCCTCTCTCATAATGGTCTCCATTTCCTGTGTGTGAGTAACCCAATTGCATTGTCTCACCTCGGAATCATAGTTTGCTGTGACTTTTATAAAAACCAGCACAAAATGATAGCATTATATATCTAGAAGACTTTTTAAAAATAGCCTCCTTTGATCACAGCATGTTGTGAAAGAAGTAAGGAGAAAAGCAGATGGAAAATGTGCTAACGGCTCCTGCTGGAGGCCGGGAACTAATAGGTAACTTTCTCAGGGTTCTGAGGAGTCTTAGAGACTCACTACTCCCTTGCCTGCTCCACCAGCCCCAGGAGGCTCTCATTCAGACTGACACAACACCCCCCAGTTGGTCGAGTTAAATAAGGCATAAGTAAGGCAGGTCCCCAGGCCTGGGCTGTATGCATTCATGCAGAGAAGCCAAGGAATGAGGAAAGAGAGCACATTAGCTTTCATAATTTTTTTCTGCTAATTAGCTATTTCTGGTTGCCTGAGATTGACAGTTTGAAAGGTTGTTTTCTTCACGTGTACCTAGTATTGTGGTGACAGCCAGTAAGACAGATCTCACTATGCAAATGTCCCAGGGTCTAAACAGGTTTTTGAGTTTCTCAGCTGTGACTTCATTGTAGTGACTCTTCAGTGGTCTATAGCTATACTACTATAATACTGTGGGTTCTTTTAGAGTTCTTTTAGACTGGACACTGTCAACTGATTTCTTAATTATCAGCTAGCAAATACCAGACCTAATGATAACTAGAAAGAGCAAATTTCCCTCTTTTTCTTAACACTCATTATAGCTCATAACCTTCAATAGCTTAAAAATGTTAAAGCTACTTTCACAATAACAATCATATACTGACTGCCTATTACATGCTGTGTTCTGAAAATAGGCATTTTAGCTATTTAAAGCATCTAGTACCACTAAGAGAAAGATACTATTATTATTTTGCAGAAAAAGAAACTGAAATGCAGAGAGAGACAGTAAACTTGCTCAAAATTACAGTCGATAAGTGATAATGGTAAGATTGGAACCCAGATAGGTCAGATTCTGAAACTTATCTTCCATTCTCTATAAGATATCAGTGTTTTGTCTACTAAGCCATCTCTTGGTGTGGTGAGAAGAAATCCAGATAATACTACATTTCGAATTTGACAGTTGTTTGGTATTGTAATAAAAAAGCAACCACATTTATTCCCACCTCTCAACTTCACACCCCACTGATTCATACTGGTAGAATTGAAGGTTACCAGGTAAAAGCCTTCTATTTCTAGTCTTCATTTTTCTTTTATGCCTAATAATTCACTGCCTTGCTCAGTCCATGATACTATACTTCATCTCAATGCCTGTTGTTCATGTCTCAGCATCTTTTTCTTCTTCCTTCTATACGTGAGGGAATTAAGCTGTGGGTTCTTTTATAGCTCAGTGCCATGCATAGGTTGAGGTTAAGAGGAAGGCTTGTAATGAGAAGCTTTGAGGTGAACAGCTGATAGACTCAGCTAATAAATATGCCTTTCCAACATCAATATAAAGGAAATGATTACTCTGCCCCTTTGATCAAGGAATATAAGTATAAAATTATTCCCATGGGCAAATGCAAGTCACCCATAAAAGAATCCATTTTCTGTTTCTTTTTTTTGTAGGAGCAATTTTGTTGAAAGTGTGGCCATAATCTGTAATCTAAAAGTAACCTTCTTTCATATTTTCAGTATTTGTTTATAATTTAGTACTTGATATTGATATTTATACAGTGGAACTGTCAAACCCTGTTGCCACACATATTTGGTTCACACAGATGTTTCTTTTATCATCCTCTTTCCAGTTTCAGTGATCCATTTGTGCCAAATGTGAAGAATTCTTTTGTATCCAACAAGCTATTTTAATAACTGATAGTACTCCTGAATCTATGAACATTAAAAAAGAAACTATCATTTCCTTTTCACGCAAGAATGCCTTTCCAGGTCAAACTACGGAGTCCTCTACATCTTGCAGAGCTGAAAGATAATAAGTCTAACACGTATGATGCTTGGTTGCTCTTGCATTTGGATGGCTAAAAGAAAAATATAAAAGTACTATGTATCTTTCTTGTTTGTAGACTTCAAGGACCATGTTGATTCTACTGGTCAGAAAGTTATCAGGCAAAGGTCTTTGAATCATGAAAAGTTATAGAGCATCTGTCAGTGGGATCAGATGTTCATTAGTGATAGGACTAAAGCCAAGCCCCCAGAAGTTTCCACTCTAAATGTCCTACCTCAATTGCTTTGGTCCTTCAAAATTCTTAGGAATTGAAATTTCTCAGGTCCGTAAGTATTTCTTTTCCTTTTTCTCATCAAAAAACTTGTGAAGAATTTGGGTTCAAAAAAGATGATAACTGCCAACTATTAACTATAATTGAAAAAGTTCCAGGGTGTCTAATTTTCTGAGTGTTAGGTATTAGTCATTAAGGTTGTGTATAAACCCATGCAGATTTTTGTCAACGATTTCATTTGCACACCTAGATTAGTCAATTTCCCCATGCTGAGAGGGATGGGATGTAGCATGTACTCATACATGGAGATGTGCCAGCTGAGCACAGATTTTTATCAGTTGCTTAACATTTCTCTGGTAAGACATCTAGGGTGAAATATGAAAATATACTAACAGGGTTTGAGAATGCCACTTAACTTGACTTAAATGTTTGGTTTTCTTAAAATGACCACCAAGAAGTTCTATCATCAGGAAGAAAAGTGAAAAGAAAAGAAAAACCATTAAAAAACAGAGCAATAATAACATGAAAGGTTACATTCCTGGAAAGTATATTCTAAGAATTAAATGCATATTTATAATTCCAGCAGGAAGTAAGGAAAATTTGATCACCAAAGCAGAATAAAATTTCATGCCCCAGAGAGCATTAAAAAAATGACCACTAAATAGACGAGGAAACATGTTTTGGGCTAGAAGACAAAAGCTATCTGAACAGATTCAGAAGTGCATTTGTGTGGAGCAATGAGTGAAAAGGGGAATGAAGGTAGCAGCTGGGAGTGGTGTAAGGAAGTAGAATCTTACTGACCCCTTTAAAGATGAGAGACGTTCCAGATTTGATGGTTTCACCTTTCAGATTCCCTCTCTCTGCACCATACACTTCAGGCCACAGATCAGGATGCAAATTCCCATTGAAATCATCTTTAAGAATTGAGGGGAGAGGAACAACAGGAACACAGTAGGGTCCACCAAAGCCCCGGTCACACCTAAGGAAAAAATGAGTGGAGAAAAGGCATCATTTGTCATGGGTTCACTATGCCAGGTTTCCTGTGGCATTGCAAAGAAAGAAAACCTCCGATTTGATTAACTTACACACAGCGTCCAGCATCACAGATCCCTCTTCCAGAGCACATCCAAGGGCACCCTGAGGCCAGTACAACATTATCAATAGCCCAGGAATCAGCACCCACGGTGTAGTTGGCCTGAATCCATCTGAACCGGGTCCTGGGAGAACTAACCAAAGAAAATACATCATTGATTTGACAAATAATTTCCAAAATATTTTTCGTTGAAGTGCCCTCTTCCAGGGTCCAGTTCCAACTCTCCTTTGAGGTAACTTATACTGAGTAGAAGATGCTGTTTCTTCTTGATCCATAAATAGGAGCAGAAAGCATGCTATTTAAATATTTTACCATTTCTTTCGTATACATGTGCGAGATGGAAAAGTTATTTTGAACTATTGATCATTGTGTTTTTGAAATACATGCAGATTTTACTTTCAGTGTTTTTTACTGCTTCTCAATACTGGGAAAGAGATCAAAGGTGAAAAAAAAATAAGGAAAAACTGGACTCTTAACAAAATTCTGGCCGTGAGGTTCCTATTCCATTGTTCCTAAGTAGTTTCTGAGAGTAGATAAAGCCCTGTCATACTTCTGCCTTCTCTTTTGGTTCTCGGTGTTCTGGCTCTCTAGAACTGAGGACTAGGAGGGTGTGATATATTCCCACAGTCTCCACTGTGTTTGCAATCTGTTATCTGGAGTATACTAACAGTCCCTAGTGGAGGAACAGAGGAAGGGCAGAAGATTGCTAGTTATCTGGAATGTGAAATGAGGTCCACCTGAAGTTGAACTTCTTAGGTACTACTGTTTCTCCACACCAGTTTTCTTTTAGTGCCACGTAGCTGTCAGCATGGTGGCTTCACTATTATGTTACTTTTATCATGTTACTATTCTGCTTAACCTCTGTCAATGGTTCTCCACCAAACACCTGCACACTCAAAGCCAAATACAGCCTCCCCAGCATCCACTCCCTCCCCAGGTCCAACCCATCTTTCCCAATTTCTTGTCTTAAAATTATATTCTGGCAACTGGATTTTGTTCTAGCTTACAACTGTTTGAATGCTCTCCTATGTGCTTTGTCACTTGAGTAGACCCTACTCACTCATACTCAGATGGACAACAGTTCCTTCAGGAAGATCCTGTCAATACCATCAAGCTAAGTTAGGTAGTATTCTCCTATGTTTCACTAATGTCGCTGAATATTACCTGTTATTATTTTATATTGTAAATAGCTGTTTATAGACATCTGTTATCCTAAACAATATATTTGGATCCTGGCCTTAGCTTATTCTTTTAGTACCAAAGTACTTAAAACACAATCGATATCTAATACATGTTTGTTGGGTTTTTAAAAAAAATGAGCGAGTAACAAGCAAGCATTACTTAAAACTCCAAGGGTCCACAGAGAACTATTTTAGGACAAAAGCTAATGTGTTTTGGTTTCCTATACTTTCCCTGCCATTTGGTTGTGCATCTATGAATCTCAGTTAAATCCAAAAAACAGACACCACTGTAAGCAGTTAACACCAAGAGAATTTAATGCAAAAAATTGGATGATGATGGCAGAGCTCAGATGTCAATAGCAGTGGTGAGAAAATCAGAGTTTAGCAAAGTTAGGAAGTCACTACAAGTCCAAAGCTGGAGGGACATAAGGAAGAGACATTTTTGCTGGTGCCCAGGCTCAGGATCACATGGCAGGGCATTTAGGAACCACAAAAGTTGGCAAGGATGTACTTGAGGGATGAGGGAGTGTTTGTGAGGGGGAATGCCCTGATTTATTACTTATTTCCAGCCTCCCACCTCTTGCCAGTGTCTGACAGTGTCTAAGCCTA